ACCAACAATATGTAAAGGATGACAACTCCAATATTTGATTATATAAAATTCTTAATAGATAGCAGCCAGCAGGACTGCTAGGCAAGCAAAAAGGAAGTACAAGAACATAAAGGTGGAAGAAATAAAATCAATAGAAGGAATAAGGATGAAGCTCAGTTGTAGATAACTTGCCTAGCAGGTGCAAGGTTGTGGATCTGATCCTTAGCACTGCCCACCCTCCAACCAGACAATTAAAGGACAGGGCAACAGCACTAGCAGAGAAGATTTTTAAATAGATTAAAAAACAACAACTATGCTCTGGAGACAGTGAAAAACATGAGTACAATGAAGAGAAATGATAGGTATGAAAAAGACTCAACCAACTGGAACTTTGGCTGAAAAAAATACTGGAAGTTGATAGTATACTGAACGGTGTTACCAGTAAATTAACACAGAAGAGTGTTACAGAAAATTTAAAAAAAAGAAACAAACGAAAAGCAAATATCTGTAAAGATCAATAAAATAGACCTCTTGCTAGAAATGATCAGGAAAAAAGCATGACAGTAGGCATAAATTACCAAGCTGAAAACTAGAAAAGAGACTCCACTAGAGATTCTACCAACATTAGGAATATAAAAGAAATATTATGAGTAACTTTGTCATTGATACATTGAAATATATTGAAAATATAAAAAATGGACAATTTCCTCTAAAAGCACAAACTACTAAAGTTTCCTCAAAACAAAATAGCTTTAAAAGTCCTATATTAATTAAAGACATGAGACTTAGTCTTTAAAGCTTCCCTATAAAAATATCCCCAGAAACTGGTCAATTCTACACGAGTTTAAGAAAGAAGTTACAATTCTCCAAACTATTCCAAAAGTAGAAGACAAGTGACAACTGATCTCATGAGAACAGCATTATCATACCCAAACTCTTCAAAATCATTAAAAGAAAGTGTGAAACAAACATCATTCATAAGTACAGATCTAAAAATATTTAACAAACGATGAGCAAATGAAACCCAATAATACATAAAAAAGGACAATACACCGGAATTAAGTAAGTTATCCTCAAAATACAAAATTACTTTAACATGGGCAAAATCAATCAATATATCTACATATTTATAGACTAAAATAAGAAAAACTATGATGATTAATAGAGGCAAATGACATAATTAGCAAACTCTAATACACAATCATAATAAATTTTGAAGAAGCAAGGGGAATTTCCTCAATCTGATAGAGGACAATTACAAAAAAACTACAGCTAACCCATGGTACTGATAAAAGAACAAGTGCTTTTGCCCTTAGTTTTGAAGAAGGAAAAAGAATGAATGATTTGACCTCTGTTATTCAGGAGAAATCTTAACCAGTGTAGTAAACAACGAAAAATAAAAAAGCTTTTTGGTAAGAAGGAAAGACTAGTTATCATTCACTATGACATAAAGGTCTATGCAAAAAATCGTCAGGATCTACAAGATTTACTAGAAATAATAACAGAATAAACAAGAATGGAGGACACATGATCAGCATACAAAAATAAACTATATTTCTATATTCGGGCAATAAACAACTGGGAATTAGAACCTAAAAAATTAAATTGGATCAAAAAGCATGAAAAACTCTGACCTATAGTAACAAAATATGTGCAAGAGCCATAAACTGAAAATTGTAAACATTATTAAAAAATATTAATGAACAAAATATTGGACCATTAGGAAGAGCTAGTGGATCAAAAAAACATGATCGTCAAATCTCCCTAGATGATCTATAGATTTATTGCAATAGCAATCAAAATCCTATTGGCTGCTGCTGGTATATAGAGAAAAAATTTATATTTTTTTTACTGGCCATATAGTCAGCAACCTCACTACATCTGCTTATTAAATCTTGTATTTTTCCATAGATGACTTGAGATATCTCACACTTACAGTAATGTCATCTGTCAGTAATTGTGTTAGTAATTCCTTTTGCTCTGTATATTTTTTAATTCTTCTGTTTTTACTTAATGTAAGATGAGGACCTCTCATACAATGCTGAGTACAAGTGGTAAAAATATGCATCCTCACTATACTGCTGATCTCCGGCCAAAGTTTAAACATTTTACCATTAAATAGACATTTGCCTTAGAATTTTTTGAAGATATTCTTTATCAGATTAAGAAAGTCTCTTCATATTCCTAGTTGTCCAAATGTTTTGATCATGAACTGGTATTACATATATATGAGGCAAAATAAATTTTACAAATGAAAATATGAAGTACTGATGGCAATGCGAAATAACCAAAATTCTCACACACTACTTATGGAAATATGAGCTTGTGCAAATACTTTGGAAAAATGTCAATATCTTACCAAAAATGAACAGATGTATACTCTACAACACAGTACTTCCACTACTCGGTATTTACACGTATGATTAAAGAAAATGCATGCATTTACCAAAAACATGTACAGGTATATTTAGTACAGCCAAAACACAAAACTGCTTTTTTCAACAGCAGAAAAGACAAACTAATATATTCACACAATGGAATAGTAGATAGCAATGAAACAGAATGCACTAAAATATTACTATTGGTCAAATCTCATTAACATGTTCAGTGAAAACAGTCATGTGCAAGAGAGACAATTCTATAAAATTGAATGTGTATAAATTTAAAAAACAAACTAATCTATGGCATTATAAGGAGATTAGTTACCCTCAGAATTACAGTGACTAGAAGTGGGTAGGAGGATTCTGATCATGGTCTTTTCTGGATATAGAAGCTAATTACAAATGTGTTCCTTCTGTAAAAAATCATTACGTGTGATTTGTTCAATACTCTATATGTATGCTATGTATATTTGCTAAAAAAAAAAACCAAACAGTGTCCCAAGGAAATGAAAGTCGATGAAGTGAAATTCTGGATGCTTTTCTTTCTCTTCTCAAGGAATGGATGACCTCTAATAAAATCTCACACAGAATGTTTGAAATTGTCCCTTTCATTTACTAATAAATCTATTGTCCTGCCCAACCCTTATAGTTCATATAAGAGTTACCAACTTTCTGCTATGTGTAAGATTAACCATTGGAAATTAAAAAAAAAAAGATCTTGTACGGACATAATTAAACATTCTGCCAATATCTGTTACTTGACAAATGTTTTATTAATTTCCTCAGAAAACTAATGTATTTAGAATATCTCTACGCTCTATTAATTTGCTTTTTAAGACCACATTTGCACCAACTATTATTTTGTAATTATTCATTGCATTTTTTCAAATCCCCTAAAATATAAAATCTATGAAAACAGCAGTTAGGTTTTGGTTAATGTAACCCTAGTACCGAAAACTATGTTTGGTATGTGGCTAGTTTTTTAGCAGTTGTGTAATATTTCAGTTCCCAGTCTGTTTCCCATTCACTACTCTTGACTTTTTGAATTACAAGGTTTAAAGGAGCTCTACCTTATAATAAAATCTCTAAGTGTTCCAAGCTATTCTTTCTAGATCACCAAGATTATCTGAGGGTTACTAAGTAAAGGAAATTCTTGTGTAAGAATACTTACATAAGAAGCAACATGCTGAAAGCAAACTTTTAAGAAGGTAATTTAGTGAAACTAGCAAGAGAGACCAGTTAGCTATTGTAACAGTCTAAATATGAGAGTAAGGGAATCATAAGTAAAATTAAAGAGGCAGGAGAGAGAGGGAGAGGGATACCAGGAATAAATAAATGAATGAATAAAAACATAAATAAGCAAACAAAGCCAGCCAGTGGACATTATGGAGGAAGAGCTCCCACGTTTGATACCCTTATAGTTACTATCAGAAGACTGCCAGAACCATAATCTTGCACAAAGCCCACCTCAAATTTACACACACACACAAATACTTCTGTGAAAACACCTGTCCATAAACTTTCTGTTCAACCTTAGAGGACTTGCGCCACCCTCATTATTAATTTCTATGGTCAGGGACTACTGTCACAAAATATATTATGTCTTCTTCCCCATTTTTGCATTTAAAATTTCCCTTGCCTCAACCTCTCTGAATACACTCACTTTACTATAGCATTCTTTTTTCCCACTGTATATATTTCTTGCTATAATCACAACCTGGCTGTGAGGATCTGAAATATACTTTGTAAGATTTACTCAGCAGCTGAACTTCACAGGCACCTCACTGACTTTCTTAATTTAAGTGGCACAGCATTTCTGCTTCAGTGATGCCCAAAGAAAATTCTACCAGGGCAGTTGACAGTTGAGGCTGAAGACACGAGGACCCGTGTTTTACCCAAAATACAGTCAATTAATTTGCTTTAAGTCTCTTCGATTTGGTTTCCCTATTCCTTTCTTTAATAAGCTAGTCAGCACTGCTGAAGTTGGGGGAAGAGGTGCCAGGCGGATGGATTATTTTGTAACTTTATTACAATTATCAATATGTAACATTTAAAAAAACCTGAAAATCATTTTCTATTTTCTTTTCTGTATTAAGTATCCATGAAAGCCAATCTTAAGATCTGGAAAAATTTCTCTTACAAGCTTTACCACTGTTCTTTAAAATGCAAAAACAATTGGGAAGGAGGGAGCTGAAAAGCTGTGGTTTTGATTTTGCATCCTTTTGATAGGTGACGTTTTCCTAAGCAAACCATTCAACGAAAGCTTCTTGCTGGAGAGATCTGTTCTTAATAATCGAAGAAAACACAATGATGTTAATTTATACACTGTAGGTTGAATCTTACTTCTCCAACACTTTCCAAGGGATATTTCCTAGTGTGGCTATTTAATGTGTACGCACTAACCTTCCACTGGGCACTCGAGGTCCATGAGGGCGGGGACTTGGATTTACTAACATCTATTTCCCCTAAATCGCCAGGTGAGCTGCTGAACACCGCAGATCCACGACAGAGACCTACGTAGGGTTTTTAAGCGATAACTACACCGAATGTTGATCTAAACTAAATCGAGCCTCTTATTACACATACCCCTGAAGTACCTTGTACTTACGCACCAAATTCCAAACCCAATTAAAAACTCACCCGAACCGGGAACAGTCCAGACAAGCACGCCCGTGACGTCACATGCGCGCAACAGTTCAGCTCTGCGCATGCGTGCATTTGCGGAGGCTAAATCGCGCGTTATTTCCCTGTTATAAGTAGCCCGGGAGTTCCAGCGAAGTACTGTGTAGAAAAAGGTTTTGTAGCCTCCGTGCCGCTCGGATGGGGTCACTTCCCCCTGGAATTGTAGCCTCTCCCCTTAACCCCGCCCTTCGTCAGTTTCCCGCATTTTGGTCCCCGAGTTCAAAAGCAACATTGCCAGAACCAGGGCTGGATGTGAGATTCTGGATGGAAGATCTTCGGGACTGGGCTCTTTTAACCCCTCGGAAACAAGTACCCAAATGCAATTTTTTCAAAGAACTATTTACAGAAATAATAATGTTTGATAGCTTTATAATGCATTAGCACAGTTCTACTAATGAGTTATGCTTATTTCAGACAAGTTTAGTTTACAAGGATATAATTTTGTGATACAGTCAATAAGCCATATTGTTAAATGTGAATCTTCTGCGAATTTCTAATATTTCTCTAATCATTTAATGTTAGTGAAACTGCCTCAGTGTGAAACTGTAATGTGATAAATACACGAATATTCAAGAATTATAGTATCAGCTTTAAGTACACATTTCCAGGAAGAAATGGCTATTTGTAAAATACTTCTTTTTTTCAACAGGAAGCATTCAGTGTCAGCCCATCTTCCCTGGCTCCTTCCCACCTCTGCATTCTTGTGCCCTGAATAAACCACGGGTAACCACTGAGTCTGAGCTCAGGAGCTGTCAGGCTTAGGCCATAATCATGTTCCTCTTCTGGCCTCATCCAGTAGGGGTGAAATACTGAAATACGAAATACTATTTCAATACTGAAATACTCTTCTTCCTCCCTAAATGATACCCTTCTCCTAGGCTTTAGAACCTGACCCTTTTAATCTCACTTTCATTGACAGTAATAACTTCTCCCAACATGTTTTAAACTTTCCCTTATCCATTCTTCCCTATCAGGATTGTAATACATTCTTCTAAGTAGCCTAAGCTTATTAAGAGTAGAATTGTTTACTATTAAATCCATGGATCCTATGCAGTGTCTGATAATGCTGTAGGTTCTAAGTATTTGATGAAAAATACTCAGTAAAAAATGTTTCTCTCTTTCCCCACGTATAACTTCCACTCTTCCATCCCACCCCCAGCTGCATCCCTTTACACTGAAACCTAGACAAAACACTGAGGTTTGCCAGGCAAGCACGATGATACTGAGCTAAATCCCTGACCATAGACTCACCTTTGGAAAGCAGTTTCATTTTGCTATTACATGGTCCTAGTTTTCTCCTTTTTGTCTATCAATTTAATCTAAGAGTTTTATTCTTTCCCTAGCCTATAGCCTGTATAGCCTCAGTAGCCTATATGTCTACGTTTTTTTAAGATGGGATGGAAATACATAACAAAATTGTACACAACTGCTTTTTTTTTGCTTTTGATTATGGTGTGGGTTCTGAGTTTCTCAGGGATGCAAACACTTAACATACATTCAAGTAACTTTCATTCCTCACCTTAGCAGTTAGTTCCTAGAGATGAAGAAAATTGAACAGGAATATACATTACAGTTTAACATAATGAGGGAGGGAAGGTAGATTGAATCAACTAGAGAAGGCACTAAAGACATGTTAATACAAAAACAATCGATTACTATTTTTCTATACCTGATGAAGTAGCATAAAACAGCTATTGCAAGATTAACAATGTAATTACTGTTACAAGTTACAACTTGTAAAGGCACATGAAAAAGTTTTAATATAAAATCTATAGTTTAAAGATACTCCTTTTTAAGAAAACTTAAAACTGAGCTTCTCACTAATAAATAATGACCAACAAAAGAGTAGTAGGTATTATTATTAGGTAATACATAAGTGTAAGTAAGGAATAAGTGTAGTTCTAAGTAATAAAGGTAGAATTTATGTGCAAATTTCTGGTGCTTCTCTCTTAGCATTTTCAAATTGTTCTTTATTTTCTAATGTCTGAATGTTGAGTTAAATTGCTTCTAATTCATTTATTTGCAGTAACTGTGAGGTCATTATCCTATATTTGCCATCTACATGTCTCAAAGACTGTTGTCATTGTGTTGCATCCCTACATACACCCCAACAATATCATCATTTACTTCTGAGATTTTTCTAGCAGGGATAGGCTGTTAGTTGGAATTCATTTCCTTGTTTTTAATAACATTTCTGTTCAATTCCACTGAACAACTAGATTGATTTATAAAATATTTCACTAAATCATCATGTTTTTACATTATTACATAGTTGGACTAGTGTATATTTCATGCATAAATTTATATCAAATTTATATTTAAATTATAATTTTAAATGATAATGAATGCAATCACTCAATGAATATTAGCAAGACAAAGATATTTTTAAAACATAATATTGTAAACCACAAATTGAGAAAAAATCAGATTGTATTTTAGTAGTATTTTTAAATTATCCTGTATTTTTGTTACCTTCAATTCTACTCATTTTTTAAATTCTTTGCTAAGAAAAAATAGATATTCCTGTTTTAGTTGGAAATCAATTAGTTTATAGTGTATTGATTTATATAGGTAAATTATAAATATGATTTTTGCCATGTTCAAAGACTAAGAAATGTATGACTTACCAATAAAAAGTAAAATAAATATTTTTATTTATACATAGTAGTTTTTAACGTGTAAAAAAACTCAAAAGGCATTATGTAAACTCAACTCATTCAACCAAAGTTCAGAGAATATTGATCACATACTTAAGATTGAGCAGAACCCTGAAGCAATAAATTAACCATACCCAAGCCTGGTCTCTACTCATCTGGAACTTTCAATGAAGACAGAATCTTTTTTAAAATGCAGAGAAATCAACACAAAACTTACATTGCAATTTTATGTACAAGCAATAGTTTGTATTAACAGACAACTATATAATGGAAGAAACTGATTTTATTACTCCATTATATAGGCTTCCTGAAGAACTGAGAATTAATCAAAAGTGATAATATAGCAAAGTATTAGAGGCAAATTGATACTTTAAATTTCATTCCTATTGCAATATATAGTTTCAAGCATAAAAATACTCTGAATCAATTAATGCATTGTTAGTCTTTTTCCTGTTAATATTCTCTAAACCCTTTGCTCAAGTCAAACTCATCATTTTTTATATTTCAAACCTATTGACTGGCACAGATATAACCATCATACTAGCAATAATTTTATGTAGTAATACTCAGATATTAAATATGAAAACATAGAATGAGGTGCTGGTTAAGTTGGCACACATTAAACCAATACTCTGATATAAAAACATGAATGAATTAAATTCCAACCAAAAGTTTAAAATTATTAGCTCTATTTACTTAAATGTGTTATATTAATAGTACTACTTATAAAAATCCAAATTGTGAACTCTCTGTTGTGGGAAGAAGCTAAAATTTCAACAAAGTGAGTCTATTTCGTGATCCTACTGCCTAACATAGTTGAATTATATGTGTCTGATGTAACAGTTCAGCATAGGGCTTGTGGATCCTCCTTTGTTTGGTCTACAGCACTATCTCCCTAAATATTTGGCTCTCAAATGGTATTTTTTTCAGGCACTTACTCTTCTTCAAATGTGTTCTATTTTGTTTCTCAGTGTTTTCTTTTTTTTCCTGTGCCTTGATTTGGATTAGAAGTAAGTTACAAGTACAGTCTCTGTGTTACTGAGAAGTGTCTAGCTGTGATATGTCACTTTCCTCAGTTTTTTTCAGAATTTGTGAAATTTAAAACTGTGTAAATCACTATAATCTCCTGTCCTTCTGAAAACTTAGTTTGGGCTCTCTTTTCTATCTTCTAATCTAAAGCATATAATCTAATTTTTCTAGATATATGTGCACTTCTTTCAAAGCACAGACAAAGCGTTCAAGGCCTGTCAGTGAATTTAATGTTCTGCTACTGAAAACCATGCTGAGCCCAATGAGGATTGAGTCTTGGGTGTTTCCCTGAGAATAAGTGAAAGGCCAAGGGTTATCTATCTCAGTACTGTAACAAGAATTGATACTTTTTTCTTCCAGTTTCTTTTCTCTTAGCTCAGATAATTCTTATAAGAATTTATGTGTCTGTCTTTTGGAGAGAAAAAAAATGTATCTAACATTCAACTATACCTTCAATTTTACTTCAATTGTTTTCTCTTTTGAATAGTTCAAATAAAATTAGATTATACCGTTATTTTAAAATATCATTTATATTATGATTCCTTTCTTTCATGTTAATTCTGTCCAGCTATTCAGGTACTTTCATTCTGATTCTATTTAAGCATATGGAGATGTCAAAAATGATATTAATAAAGTATTAAAATCGCTGTTATTAGCTAAAGCTTGCAAACAGCCCAAGTGCCCTTCAACTGGAAACTGGATAAAGAAGATGTGGGTTATTTTATAAAATGGAGTACTACTCAGCCATAAAGAATGAGAAACTAGAGACATTTATAGCTAAATGGATGCATGTTGAGGCTATAAGTGAAATAAATAGGACACACGTGTAAATACCGAATAGTTTCTCTAGTGTGAGAAACAAAGTGTAAATAAGGATTAAAATAATTAAAATGAATAATTGATAATTTGAAATAGGAAGAAAAGGTCCAAAAGGGTAGGGGAAGTGGGAGGGGAAAGGAAAGGAAAAATTGTGAGAAATAGAAAAAATGGAAACAAAGTCTTTGTAAATAGGGAAGGGAGCACAGGGAATGGGGAAAAAATAAGAACCAAGATACATCATGTACAGGTACAAGCACCCAATGATAAATGTAAGCGTATTGTATACCTAAAATGTACCAATAAAATAATTTAAGCAAAACAATAAATAAATAAATAAAATGGCTATTATTGAATGCAGGATTTGAGTGACTAGTTGCTCTCTGTTTTGGAAATTAAAAAATTACTTTTTTCATCATTTATCCATGTAAATAAAAATAACTAAGCCAAAATAATTGTTTTTTCAGACTTGATATTGTATTTAAGTACTGTTACAGCTAAGATTATCTGCTAACCATGGATATAACATTTCAGACATGTATACAGTTCATAAGCCCATGCTTTAAGAGCTGCCATCCCCCCACACAAAAGTCTAACTATACAACTATGCTAATATAACATGATCAGTTTCCACTTTGA